ATACCTACCCCGCGCTGACCTACTGAATGAGCTTCATCGTCGCCTGATGTGCGAAGAACGAATCTCGTCGACAAACCTGGCGCGCTCAAGTGGCTTAGAGTAGTAGGATCCTGGATTCGCGTCTCCGATACGCAGCAGACATCAATTCCTAAAGAGTTCCTTGTTCGCGCCACACAAGCTTGTTGATCCATGCACTAGAGTCCTCACGCTGAAGGCCCCTAGATTAAGTGATTGACGAGGCTTCCGAATTTGCAATTTAACTGGAGGCAAACAACGCCACTTGGTGACGAACTTTGGCGAGCGACGAACAAGTTGTCTAGCGAAATGTTACAGGTCGGAAGAAGGAGTAAGGTGTGAGGGTTGGGTAAGGAAGACGAAAAGTTAAACAAAGGTTGGAAACGAAAGATGTTGCTATCATAATAGGATCATACTGCGTTCGCGTAATGAAAATGTGCGAACAAAGGAAACTGCCAACGGATCCAAAAAGAAAAAAACCTTTCCTCTTATTGTTGCTCTATTTCATGTTAGATTAGGTCGCTGGAGTGCAACTATGACCAATTAAAATAATTTAGTACCCTGCACTGAACGCAACGGTGTTCCCATCGTATTCCGAGTTTATCAACCTTATTGTCTTTTTGGCTCAAGTCAATGAATCAAGCTTGTACATTACCGGGCTCGTGTTCCCGAAGTACTTCAAAAAATTGGTTTAAACAAATGTGGTGAGTCATCAATAGGACATGGGGTTACGTGTAAGTGTATATATTGAGAAATATACTAGAAAACATTTGGTAGTCACTTCTGTTTTTTATGTGAAAGGACATCTCTGGTTAGCCTAAATTATTAACGACCTCAAACCTCATTCTGTCATCAAAATCACATTACTCAAACCATTGGGCTAATTCGTTGAACACGTGAATCGCACGACCATTTCAAGAACAAGCTACACCACTATCAAACTCAATAGGTGGTTAAACTAGTTCCCTGTTTTCCGGAAATGTGATCAGGTGAACTGTCCGAAGAATGAAATGAAAAAACTCAATGGAGTGAGTTCGTAGCGGTTCTCAAAACAGGAATTTTCTCTTCTGGACTTATTACCTTCCTTGAGTTTTATGGCGGAATCATTTAAGCTGAATGAGGTCAATAAACCACTGATACGAACCAAATTTACCAAACACTTGTTTTTTAAGCAGCACGATGAGATTATTTAACAACCAGTCGTAAGAAAATACTTGAAAATTCACAGCATTTTTCGGAACCAAACTTATATACTCAGGTAGCAGCTTAACTCTTTAATTACGTTTGGTCACTCCAATGACCAAGCAGAGGTTGGAACTGCCGCCCAAGGTAAAGAAAATTTTAGCGAACCGGTCAAAATCAGGAGTACCGTAAAAATTTATCAACCTGACCACAGTGACCATAGTACTTTACACATTTTAGTTTAACTTTAGGCGCGATCGTGCTCTTCATGAGCTCCCAATTTCATCGAACGGACCTCACGAAAGAGTTCATAATCAATCATTAGCGGAAGGTACTAACACCAGCGGCCTATTTTTAACCAGGATCTTGGCATCCAAGAGTGAGTTTGAACACTGCCAGAAAATGTGCGACAATTTATTGATATAATAAAATAGTACAATTAAAGTAGTTATTAGTTACATCATTCATTTTCTGCTTCCTCTTTATGCTGCATGAGAAACGTCGCCAAAGCTTCGATGGGATTAGGAGGCCTGTTAAATCATGAGTGCAGAAAAGGTTTACTTACCTCTCCTTTGCAAGCATATTTAATCCTTTTAGTAGAACAGGGACAACAGTCTGATCTAGGTAAGCCCGAGTATCAGTTACCTTCCCTTCTGAACCATTGGCATCCTGAGTTTCCATTTCGGCCTTGAAAATCAAAATGAGCGCGGTTTCCGGAAGCAATTCAAATCACAGGACGTAGAGAGGCCTTCGACTGTTGGGTGTCTTGGTAATGGTGGATTCCGTCTGTAGACCGACTCACCTGCGAGTGTAAAGCTTCGTCCGATTCTCCACGAGGGAGTAATATCTAGAAGGTGGAAGGGAACGGGAGGCGGCACAGTAGGTCAGGTAAGGTCAGGTTGCACAGGACTGATAATGGCCACGGCCAATCGAGCGTCCAGATTTCTTCCGGCAGTATGCTCACAAAATGTGCATCCACCAGTGCAAATTGTCTTCAGAACACGTCCTTGCTGAAAGGGAAGGAAAAAGCGCGTCTCCTTTCACCTCATCGGC